GACATAAAAACTCTACACAGTTGTACATTTTGCATGGTTCCACAGTAATTGGGTATGTAGCATGTTCGTGAGATTCCGCAAGTGTACGGATCGTGACAAGAAATAAAGTGGATTTGTCAAGTTCAAATATCGTCCTACAGAGACTACTATCTACTGTAAAGTTTTAAACTAACCTAACTTCAATTTAAATTAAACTGGTAACTAATGATCAAATCAAATTGCATTTTCGAAGCAAAGTTCTAATAAATAAAATTGCAAACTATTAAATAAAATAACAAACTCAAATTAAACTGTGGATAATATTACATGATTGGATAGTTAGGATTTTCGATTTCACTTAAATTATTGAATATACATTTAATTACAATTCATTCAGTCATCTTTTCTTACGTGCTAACGATCAAATTAATCCGATGTAGTTAGTGATCTCTCTTGAGCAACACTAATCATATTCATATTCCCGAACTTACTATATCTCTATATAAATTCACACACACATATGAACGCATTTATCTATAGAAATTCAACATGGATCGCATAGCCTATAATGATCTCTTATAATATCTATATTAATTATTGCACAAGCTAAAATTATACATCACCTCTCGATTTTAGTATTATCCCTAAATCAATCAATTATTGTGCAGACAATTAAAGCATTAAACGCACAATAATTAATTAACAAGTATCAAAATGATATGCAAATCTTGAAATTAAATATATAATAAAAACATTAAACTACATCATCCAACATAACAATAAAAGTTTTTAGCCACTCATAACGTTGAAATTAAACATGTAAAAGTGGAACAATATCACCAAAAATTGATGAAATGTGAAGCTTTTCATGTGTTCCGTCTACTTTCAATCGTCTGCGTGTGTATATATATTTTAATGTTAGCCTCTTTTACTTTTCTCTCCAAGCCGTAATTCTTGACTTCTTCTTCTCCTTTTTCTTTTCTCTTTCTGTTTTCCATGTTTCCTGATATAGATATATATATATATAGATATATATATATATTATTTTTTTTGGGTTTGTAGCTTATTTGGACCGTAAGTGCATGCTCACTACCAAAATAAGGCCCAAAAAATATTGGGGGGAGAAAAATGCTTAGGTAACTCCGACGGTGCATTTAAGTTGTCACCTCGAGAATGACCTATTCTTAGTTGTGCTTAAACTTTTAATTTTGAGTTATGTGTTGCACTAACATGCCTCGTGGTAGTAGTCTATATAGATTATTATTGAGAACGTACATACTATGTGGATTTGAGTATTAAAATGCTACAAGAACAATATTCTTAGTGACAGATCATACCACGAAGGCTAGGTTTGCATATCATTCACTTCAGATAAGACGTACCATAGTCCATCGTCATCCTTATTCATTTCCAAAGAGAAAAAAAAATAGAAACTTATTTTTAATAATTTATAAGAACCTAAAAACCTCATAATTGTGCTTTCATGTTATACATTTATACTTAAGAAGGCACGTAAGATGTTTAGCATGTTAAAATGAATGATTGTTTTGTTCACTAAGTCAAACTTACTATTAGTATTTCTATAAAGTTGTTTTTTCCCTCTTGCATTACTTATTTCATGATATTGTTTTTATTTGTGGAATATCAATTATCAAACCAAACAAAAAAAAAATAAAAATGTTACATTTTCATTTGTAATCTTATCATACCAAATCATTTATGTTATTTTCAAAATATAAATTGTACAAGATACACGTAAGCAATGATGTTAAGAAAGTCAAAAGTGATGCAAGCTGGTCTTCGAAAACTCATTTGTCTTTGGTTACACATATAGTCTTAAGGAATCCAAAGAAAAATTTAGAGAACTTTGACAATTAAACACGATAAGATCTTCACTTTTGGCTGCTTCGGTCCCATTAAAATCAATTAATGTTGTGACCACATAAGTAATTCTCATGACCAAATTGAGCTTAGAGTTTGGACCAAATGCATGCTTTGGAGTTTAGACCATTCCAAAGCCAAAATCTAATAATAATACATTTATGTTACTACAAGATTCATAATTTTGAATCTAGCTGAATATTTGCTAAAGGAAAAAACTCAATTCTAGCTTGATCAGAACCTGCCCTTTTTGACCTAGCTGCGGACATCAATGCAATAATTATTTCATTTTAATACAAATTATGACGGCATTTAATCCAATAGTAATAATCTTTGGAGTTCTTTAATTGACCTGCCTAATTCTTTCGTGGTAGAAATTATTGTCGATTTGATTGTCGAGTTCAATATAGATACCTGAATACATCTTATCCTCTTATAAAAAAGGTTGAACCCCATCCTTGAGAGCCCCCACCGCTCCACCCCTAAAGTATTGTGGAGGAGGTAAATTGCATGATGTGCCCAACAGACCAAAGTACAAGAGCTGCATACTGGTGGCCACAAAAAGTCCAATTCAATACATTTTAAGAGTTAGGAATCGAACCCTCACACTACGGCTGTCAACTCAACTGAGACTACTTCACTTATGTCATTTGCACCACTGAGCTATGCCCCGGGGGGCCATCTTCTCTTCTTATAAAATGAGAAGACTCCGTGATGTAATTAATGCGTGAAAGTGTCAAAAAATGCATTGAAATCGTCATATTTACTAAAAAAAATCTATATTATATTCGATATTAATTTTTTTGCTACGTCCCAATGAACATAATGATGTTAGGTAGCCAAATTCGTCTTTTCAAAGAAAAAATGGTTGCCACATTTTGCTGTTTCACATTTGCTTCTTAAATCAACTAGTTTGGTGTCTTTTTTTGAGAGAGAACTACCAAAAGTGCCATTCAGACTATAGAATATGTATTTTAAAAAAAATAATAAAATTATTGTGAAAGATGACAATCTTTATTTTCCTTTCCATTAGATCACAAGGTTTGATTTCACCTCCTCGGTTTTAGATTAATCACATTAAGGGGGAAATAGCTTATATATGCTCGAATTGGAACCACATATTAAGGTAAGATGATTATTCGAGTTGAATTGAATATGAATTTTTGAAGTATAAAGAAAAAGAATGAGTCAATTTTACGAAGTAATCTTTTTGGCACCCCGAGCTATAGGCCATTTCTTCATTACAAGGGTTTGTGTCGTTGAGCCCTTCTAGAACATATTTTGTTCGATGATAAGTCAATATACAAGAATTCAATTTACAATTTCACGACAAACAAAATAGAATAATAATTCTTTATAATTTAACCTTAAGATTCGCCTTTATTAATTATTTCACAAGACCACAACACGTTTGTCACAATTGGCAAAACAAACACATGTGAATAGTTTAATCTCGATTGATTTGTGCGTGATCTAGTGTATTTGACCGATGTGCATGTTTATACATATCTTTTATGTTTTTCGTCAAAAGAGTTTTGCTTGTTTACGAGCTTAAACTACTGAAACCAAAATGAAAGGTCGAGATGCGAAATTTTAAATTTTA